CTTCGGAAAGGTAGGAATTCTCTTTTTCTCTCCCCCAGCTACGAGTAAATAGCAGGACAGACTGGGTTCTATAGCCTTGGATGGAAACCGGTCTAGGAGAAGGAAAAACTCTGAATTCAAAGCCGGCCTGGAGAGATTGGGCTCCGTCAGGCTATCTTGCCCAAGAAACACCACTTCTACTGTGGCTGCAGTACGTATGATGCCCCTACGACCCTACAGGTCACGGGATTAAAAAAATTGTAAAAAAAAAAAAAAGTAAAAATAAGACCCCCCCCCATTTGCATAATTATGTTCTTGAATCAATTCTTTAACTGATTGAAATATTTCTTCTCAAATTAATGGCCGTTCTGCCGCCGTCTAGTTGGAAGTGAGATGATCTATCACATAAAGGTTGATTATCGACCAAATGAACAGGTTTTCAACTTTTGGTCAAAAAATGTGTAGCTGTAAATTCGCCAGTCCTAAATGTAAGCTATGTGATCTTTTATACAAGTAATTTCAAATTTCCTTTTCTGTTTTTTTTTTTTTTTTTTTTTATTTATTTTATTTTCTCTCATATTTCCAGTGAACTTTCCGTATTACTAACCAAATATAGCATTCCTAAGCTTCGCCAGTCAAGCATTAATTGATGGTAGACATGTAAAATGCTATTTTTCTTTTTCCCCTGAGTTAAAAGCTCCAAGCAATTTAAAGACGATGACGTATTTAGGTGGCCATCTTGAAATATACGTTTTTCTCGCCACCTATAGCGGCTTAAGGTTTTAAGTTCTTTGCTTGATTTGTTCGTTGCAATTGGGACTTTCACTCAAGATTTAAGTCAGAATTCATAACGAACATGACAGAATTGAATGCACAAAAAGTGGTAGACTGGACATTTTTGAAAATGACAAGTCTTTTGTTGCCTTTTCTCTTTGACATCTGTGTGAAGCGGAGATAGACTGACAGCAAAGTAATAATAGGTTGAGTGTATGAAGGCAAGTTTTTTCTACTATTTCTCCATACATCCTCTGTCTTCATCCTATTCCTCTTATCCTCTCTTGTCCTTTCATTCTGTCTTTCCTTCTTTTTCTTATTTATATATATATATATATATATATATATATATATATATATATATATATATATATAAATATAAATATGTTAGCTCTATCTCTGATATTGAGCGCTTTCTAATAAGTACCCATATAATATAATATATAAATAATTATACATATATATATTTATTTATATACACTTTTCACACATATATATATATATATATATATATATATATATATATATATATATATATTCGGTAACAGTACCTCTTTTTTTAATTATATTTTTCTTGCATACGTACAAGTATCTTCTCTAAACTCAATGAATTTCTAAAGGTTTATTTGGTTTCGAGTGCTTTCGGCTAAACTTGTTAACTATTTTCCAGGATTATTTCTATAATATGCTATAATAAATGATGTGTAAGTACTAATCGAGATGGCATAAAAATTCAGGTATTAGACATATTGTTATATATATATATATATATATATATATATATATATATATATATATAAAATATAATATAATATATATAATATAAAAGGCTCAAACATTAATATTCCATAGTTATAATTTATTACATTGGAATCGTAATCACGATCCAATTTATCAGACCTAAAAATTTGTAGGTCTCATGAATTTGATTGTGATTACGATTCCAATATGATAAATTATAACCATGGAATATTAATGTTTGAGCCTTTTATATTATATTCTTACTCTGTCCTGGACATTGAGCTCTACCTGGATTCTATCCACTTGGAAATTTATACATACATATATATATATATATATATATTAGTGGTTAGTATATATATATATATATATATATATATATATACTGACCACTAATATTATCAACATATATATATATATATATGTATGTATGTATGTATGTATGTATGTATGTATGTATCTAGAAAAGACTTCAACCTAAAGAGATGTTGATTTTTTTTATTGACGTATATTATGCAAAGTATGGAGTTTATTTAAACACTTTATTCTCAATTTAGATTTGGAAGTACACCAAATTATTCGAAAATTTCAAAAACACATAAACTGCAGCGTTTCGGAAATGCTGGATTGTAGCCAACAAAATGTTGTCTACCAGATTAACAACATTAAATTCTTCATAATGGCTGAATACCTGAACAAAAACAGGACAAAATTATGAACTTTGAACAGTTTATTCACAATTTTTGATAAAAACAAAAAGGTGTCAACCCAATGAGCGGAGCTGGTAGAGAGAATGCAAAACTGCTCATTTTGTTTTTCTTCCCTGCACTTTCTCTTATCTCTTCAAAGGCAAATCTTTTATTCATTTCCTCTTGTAATTTGTAATACATTATCTGGATGATTTAAACCATTTCACAACTCCGGTCGGATGAGGCAGTTGTCTGTCTGGAATAAATTATTACAGAACTCTTTATTAAAGACGTACTGAGTTTTTCCGCTGATGTATATCATATTGTTCTGTATTTTGATACATTGAGCTCTCTTCAGGGATCTATCTTTTTAATATTTTATATGAAAAAAGACCTATTTTAATTATCCTTTTCATTTACGGATTTGATGTTATGATAATAATAATAACATTGTTATTAAAGACCACAAACAAAAAAAGTGCCTCCTGATTGATATGACAGTCCCTGCCGACTGCAGTGTATTTTTGAAGATATTCAAAAAGCTGTCAAAATACAAGAACCTTGAAATAGAAATCTCAAAAATGTGGTACATGGGAACATCAACAATCCCTGTTGTAGTTGGAGCCCTAGGATTGGGTGGAAAAGATTCCAGTAGACTAATTGAAGGGATCCTTGGAAGCCTATGCCTTAAAGAAATACGAAAAAAAATTGTTCTCACAAGTACAGCCCACACTTTGCGAGGGGCTTTGTCCATTTAAAATATGTCTGTTGAAAAAATGATGCCATTTCTAACCTTAAGAACCTAAAGAAATGTGTACACACCAGAAATCAAAGGAAATAAAAACAATAATAATAATAATAGCTAGCCGCTTGTATTTGAGGATACCCGTCTATTAGGGTGGCTAGCCAATCCCTATTGCAGACGATCGCTCGGGCACATTTGTGTTTATTCAACACCCAATATTCAACAAATATTAAATAAATGTTCTGTTTATACTAAACAGTATTAACAACATTTACCAGCCTGAATGTCCAAGAAATTTTCATAGAAAATATGCGTCCTCCGGTAAATGTTGTCAATACTGTTTATTATAAACAGAGCATTTACTTAAATATTTGTATCTATAAAAGAGTGTATAAATATACAAATGTCTTAAAATAATTGTCGGACTTTGTCCATTCCATTATATATATATATATATATATATATATATATATATTATATATTATAGTTTAACTGATTTAACATATGGTTTTTCCGCTACACAGTAATAACCATGTTTCAAAAACTGAAGCTAAAAACTTCAAATTTAATTATATAATTAAATTAAAAGCATTAGTTCCGTTTCATCTTCAAGCTAATATTGGAATAACTTATTTTTAAATTTACTGAGTTTTAAATGCACATATAAATTCATAATTTCCTGTTTCCAAGGACACAGAGAAATCCAATCATTCAGGCAGGGATGGTAGTGTGTTCATTTTTATTAACTATTGTTGTATCAATTATGAGTTACGTTTGAAAAAGTGGTTAAGTTTAGAGAGGGGAGGGGTGCATTTTTCAACGAATTCTGACATCCGTTAAATGCATGTCGTCTGTTTTTTGGGGTTAGAATACGTTTTATTTATCAACAATTTTAAAATATTTTTACTCTTAATTACTAATAGACCATATTTCTTTTTAAAACAAGTAAATGTAATAGAATTATTTAAATTATTTAAAATTATTTTTTCATATCAAATATAAGTATGTATATTACCAGCTCCCATTTTTTTATTTTATTTTTAAATATTATTTGAGGAAAAATTTTGACAATGACGGTAAAAAGTAACTATTTCATATCTCTGATTAAGTAATTTTTTATGTTTTATAAAATTAGTAATATATAGTTTCTAATGTATTAAATTTAAAGTTTTAGCTTCAGTTTTTGAAACATGGTTATTACTGTGTAGCGGAAAAACCATATTTTAAATCAGTTAATTTATAATATTTATGCTCTGTTACATTGAGCACTGTTTTGTAAAAATAAAAATAAAAAATATCAATAAGAACACCGGATTATATATCTTACTGTTCTTTCGTTATATATATATATATATATATCTATATATATATAGTAAGGTAATGAAGGTTTTGATGATCCGTGTAGATAATTCCAATGGGGATGTAATCCAGAGAGCTCAATGTTACACCAGAATAAATATTAATTAAATAATTAAAAAGAGACAACCTTAAGGTTCTGTGACTATAATTTATTTCCTCAGAAAATATATCTTACTTGGTTCATCAGGTCACATCTCTAGTTACCTAGAGATGTGACCTGGTAAACAAAGGTAGGCACATGTAAATTTCTGTAGTAAGCTTGTCTCGTTTGATCAATTACGACTGAGTAGTGATTTCGATCCGCACTGTGTACCCCATAATTTTAGCCTTGTGCCACATCTAAGCTACGCTTATAAAATCACCGACGAGTTTCTCTCTACATATATTCTTATTTTCAGATACATAGAGACAGACCCGATCTTGCAAGAAATGATTTGGGTCGAGTCACTTTTGTGTGCGGTGTCGCTGGTTACAATGTTTGCTCTGTCTTAGGTCAATTTCAACATTGAGCGCTGTCTATAATTCCATCCATAAAGTGTCTCTCATTTCGTCTCGTTTGTCTTTTCTTATGTTTCCTTTTCCAACTGTTTTTTTTTTTCGGTGTTTCTATTCGTTCCTTTCTTTATTGGTTCTCTGTTTTTATTTTTATTTTCTTTTATCACTTTAAGTGCATTCGTTTGATAAGATCGCCAGTGCATGCTTTACGAATACTTTCATTTGTGATAGATAGATAGATAGATAGATAGATAGATAGATAGATAATAAACTGTAACAGATAATAAAACGTGATAGATAGATAGATAGATAGATAGATAGATAGATAGATAGATAATAAACTGTAACAGATAATAAAACGTGATAGATAGATAGATAGATAGATAGATAGATAGATAGATAGATAATAAACTGTAATAGATAATAAAACGTGATAGATAGATAGATAGATAGATAGATAGATAATAAACTGTAATAGATAATAAAACGTGATAGATAGATAGATAGATAGATAGATAGATAGATAGATAGATAGATAGATAGATAGATAAAAAAGGGTAAGTACGAACAATCAGGTTTAGTAGGGAGAACAATGTAGTCTCGACCGGTATCACTATTCCAATGTCTTGTAGTAATTGTCTGAATGCGACTCTGTTTCGGACTGCCTCTGACTCGACTGACTGACTGAGTCGCTCACTCTGACCGACTGACTGACAGACTCCTGACGGACCTCACTCCAGCCTTCAGACTGAAACTCTCTGCTTTCTCTTGAGGCGCAGTATTTATTACGTATGGAATAGTCCATTATGTTATTATGGGTAAGGTCCCATAACAATGATAAAACGTAATAGATAGATAGATAATAAACTGTAATAGATAATAAAACGTAATAGATAGATAGATAGATAGATAGATAATGCATAGGCCTACAACCTTAACCAGAAATATTTACTCATGCAAAATGTGCTCTACTTTTAAGAATGTTATTTAAACTTGCGTTAGTCACATGTGGTGTTTTGTTACCCACAAATTTTTAAAATGTTCTTTTGCTCCATTCCACTAGTCTCCTACCTCAGTGTTGTTGTTTTAGCACATGGTGTGGTGCAGTTGTAGCTCAGTTGTCGTCGGAGACAGATACTAGGAGACTATCCATTTTCGGAAATCCGAGGTAACTAACACAGGGTTAAGACCGTATTGCGCCAATGACCCCAGTGCTATACGTTGCCAGTTTGACAGTAATTAGTAGAGGTTATTTGCTTCAGGATTTTGGAGACTGCCACCGATTTTCCCGTGAAAGCATACCAGGGAATTCTTATAATCTTCAAATGTAATTTTTGTTTTTTTCTCTGATCTCTACTAATTCTTTCCATTTTCTCATTATTTTCATTTTGTTTTCCTTTTTCTCCATTTCTATTCATTCTCCCTCCCTCTCTCTCTCTCTCTTTCTCTCTCTCTCTCACTCTCGCAATACCTACAACGAGCTTTCTTTGACATATTCCAACCAATACGAATTGAAGACCCGAAAAATAAAGCCATCTTTCTATTTCATATTTTTACTCACAAAATCTATCTCCATTTTCAGTGCCACGAGCCATTTGCCGTCAGGTCCATCTTGTTTCCATTAGTATTTTAAGCACACACGTGTATATACATAACATACACACACACGCGCGCGCGCGCACGTATATGTGTATGTGTGTGTGTGTGTGTATGTACGACTACAGATCAATAAATTCCGGTGGATGTTCCTGTAAACATATGGTACTTAAATAAAAATATGAATTACATACGAAAATAAACATTGGATCATATATATATATATATATATATATATATATATATATATATATATATGTATGTATGTATGTATGTATGTATGTATGTATATGTATGTATATATATATATATAAAGAGACAGAGAGAAAGAGAGGGAGAGAGAATGATTATTATAAGAAAATAGAGATAGATAGATAGATAGATAGATAGATAGATAGATATGTAAGCCAAAAGTTTTCAGTCTTTAAGATACTTTAAAAAAGCTTCAAACGTTTGCAAAACTATCTACATAACTATATATTTAAACTTTCCCTCTCTCACTCACTTTCACTATCTCTCTCCCCACTCTCTCTCTCTCTCTCTCTATATATATATATATATATATATATGTGTGTGTGTGTATGTGCCTGATGGATGTCTCATCTTCCACTACAATCGCAGGTGCACACATATATACACATATATCCTCATCCATACACACCTTTTATATATATATATATATATATATATATATATATATATATATATATAACCCAAATTTAAATTATATATATATGTATTTATTATATATATATATATATATATATATATATATATATATATATATATATATATATGTGTGCATCTGTGTATTTACATATATATATATATATATATATATATATATATATATATATATATACGGGCTTGGCATTCATTTTTTAGTTATCTTTTAACCTGCACACATTTATAAACTGCATTTCAATGTAGTCCTATCAATCATCACACACACATTCCTACACTGTGTGTGTTTATGTATAATCTATCTATATAAAAACAGATTAACGTTTACATGCATACAGCACTAAATTTCTAAGCACTTAAATACATATCTAGCTAGGTAACTCCATACATACAAGTATTTGCAATTCCCTTTTGGTTGTCATTATTCGTAGAAGAGAGAAGCCTGGCCTCTTGTAAGGAATTATGTAAAATGACTTCTTCTACGCCAAATAATCTTGTCTGGAGCCATGTGCCTGACTGCCTCTTCAACTCCGACAAGTAAATTTACCAGACAGGTCCAGAAGAATTTGAACAGTGAATTATTAGCTTGCTTCAGAGAGGTAAACATAGCAGAGGATAGATAGATAGATAGATAGATAGATAGATAGATAGATAGATAGATAGATAGATAGATAGATAGATAATTAGCATATTGAGACAGAGAGAGGAATAATTAGATAGATAGATAGAGAGAGAGAGAGAGAGAGGAATAATTACTATACTGACATAGAGGAAGAATTAGTATATTTCGATAGATAGATAGATAGATAGTTAGATAATTAGCATATTGATATATATATATATATATATATATATATATAGAGAGAGAGAGAGAGAGAGAGATGAGTAATTAAGATAGATAGGTTGCGTATTGAGATAGATGGTTAGATAGATAGATAGATAGATAGATAGATAGATAGATAGATAGATAGATAGCGTATTGCGATAGATAGAGAGACAGACAGACAGACAGAGAAGAATAAATAGCCTATTGAGATAGGAAGATACAGAGAGAAATATATCTATCTACCTAAATATGCTTATCTAAATATGCCAATTATTATGCCTTCCTATCTATCTAAATATGGTTATCTATCTAAATATGCCTATCTATTTATATCAATATACTAATTCTTCTCTCTCTCTCTCTCTGTCTCTCTCTCTCTCTTTCTCTATCTATCTATCTATCTATCTACCAGATTATACTAATTATTCCTCTATCTCAAATGCTATCTATCTATCTGAATATGTTAATTATTCATGTATCTATCTTAAATGCCTCTTATCTATCTAAATATGCCTACATATCTATCTATCTAAATATGCCTATCTCAATATGCTAATTCTTCTTCTTCTTCTCTCTCTCTCTATCTTTATCTCAATATGATAATGATTCCTTTCTAGATCTCTCTAAAATGCTATCTCAATATGCTAATTATACATGTATCTATCTATCTATCTATCTATCTATCTATCTATCTATCTATCTATATGCCAATTATCTATCTAAATATTCCTATTTTGTTTTATTTATTTAAATTCTTTTGCGGTTTGTTATCATATTTGTTTTTTTAGTTTAAAGCATTGACTTTGTCTAAAGTATGTTATATTATCAGCGTTGTATATAGTGTACGTATATATATATATATATATATATATATATATATATATATATGAAAGTGCACACTAAGGTCACCACGCGAACTGTGACAGTCTAATTCATATATTGAAACATGGAACAAGCTGTCGACGTTCGGTGTTGACCTTAATGTCCACTTTTTAGATTTTTTTAGATTTCCATGCGCTTTACCGATGATATTGAACATTTTACCCATTAATTTTGCATACCTTCAAATGACATTTTTATTATATATATATATATATATATAGAGAGAGAGAGAGAGAGGGAGAGAGGAGAGAGAGCGTGAGAGAGAAGAGAGGGGAGAGAGGGTGGGAGAGAGAGGGAGATAGAGCGAGAGGGAGAGAGAACGCGTCAAAACATAGCAAAGCCACGTTTCTTTCCATCTCAGTGTAACTTTTGAAAATCATAGAACACTAAAACGAGTGAAGTTACTCGAACTATTCTTAAAGACTCCAGTTGCATTTCCAGCTTTTTTTTCTCATATATATATATATATATATATATATATATATACTTGATGTAACTGCAAAATTGTCCAAATCGTGTAACAGCAAAATTGTCCACTTGTTAGACTAAGCTTTAAACCGTTGTTCTCTTAGAAATGATTAAAGATATCTTATTGGAATTCTTGAAGTTTTTTTATAAAACTATTGGACTCTACCTTGAGCAATAAGAATATTAATTATTCACCAAGCTTAACAGAAGAATCATGCTGAAATCGATCATAAACGAAAATGATATGTTCATAATTAATAAGAGCTAAGTAAGAGAAGCTTATAAAGTATTGAAATAAATTTTAAATATATATATATATATATATATATATTCCAGGATCATTTTCCAACTTTCTGTTATGGAGTAACAAAGTGCCTTACATGTTACACGTACGATTTCATTTTCAAGTCATTTTCACTGCTCTTTGAACTGTCATAGCTGAAACTCCTCTTTCACCTGCTAAACTTCTCATAAATTGAGTTGAATCTTTTCTAATTGATTTCTTTAGCTCTAAGATGTAATGATGTTCCCTCTTCCTGTTGTGACCTCCTGATTCATTTTCCCTCTCTACTGTTCCTTCTTTTTTAAACATATTCACCGTTCTCTTGATGGTTCTTGAATGCATTTTGAAGATGGAAGCCAGAGTATGAATGTTGGTACCATTACTGAAGGCTTGAATGATCGTTTTCTTCTCACCATTGCTCATTTGGGAAGACAGTGGATATGACGAAAAACAATTTTAATCTGTTCTCTTTCTAGCTGAATAACTCAAAGGGTTCTTCAGTAATTCTTACGGCAAATGGTGTCAAGAAGGTTAAACGTCTTATCTGAAAACCTGCAAAAATGAAACTCAATTAGTCTAGTGTATCTTTTAGGTATTAAACATTTTGTGGGATGGATAATTATGCTGTTACACGATTTGGGCAATTTTGCTGTTACACCCCGTATATATATATATATATATATATATATATATACTGCTACCAGCAATGATGACTATGTTGGCCGAAACTAGTTGAGGAATCTAACTGAAATAATAAAAACAAAAGAATATTAATATACAACCCAGTGTGTCTGAAGATTTTAATTTTTTTATATTTTTTAATGTTCAATATATATATATATATGTATATACATATACTTCAAAGGTTATTTTTAGTGGATACATGTACTTGAGTAGACGTTCTATTTTATTTTAAACTATATTTATTCCTCTACAAGACTGCACACTCGAGAAAAATCTGCACCCCCCGGCAGGATTCGAACCTGCGCTTTTTTAGATATTAAATATTTTGTGAAATGGACAAATATTCTGCAACATGATTTGGACAATTTTGCTGTTACATCGGTATATAAATATATATATATATATATATATATATATATATATATATATATATATATATATATATATATATATATATATAGAGAGAGAGAGAGAGAGAGAGAGAGAGGGGGGGAGACAGACAGGTTTGGAGAAAGAAACGCCCATATGTCCACACATAGAAGAAAAGGGTCTGAAGCCTCAAATAAATAAAGATAAAGAGATTAAATGGACAGTTATGGCATTAGATAAAACCATAAATATTTTCGATCTAAAAATATCCATGTTAATTTTTCTTTATCAATGCGTAAGTACGCACAGACGCACACACATCTCTCTCCATATATATATACATATGTGTGTGTGTGTGTGTGTGTGTGTGTGTGTGTGTGTACATTCATAAATATATACTTATGTGTGCTTATGTCCAGATGAAGAGAGAGAAAGAGAATGAGAGAGAAAAAGAGAGTAAAAAGTGAGAAAGAGAGAGAAAGGGAGTGAGAGATGGAATCAAAAGCACACCACTTTTCAAAAATGCCATATGAATTTTGAACTGGAGTCAGGATTTGACGTTTCGACGTGTTAGTGGTCGACTCAGAGTGACAAGAACTTGCAAAACGGATTACAGGACACGCCACACGCAGTGAACACTCAAATCTCCCGCTCCTGTCTCCTCACAACAACAACGCCGCTTTCGGTTCCGATCGAGACACTTTTTCCCGCCTAAAGTGCTCCATGTATCACGTGACTCGACGTTCGGTCTTCCCACCCAGCCCATCAACATTTTTTGCCTTAATGTTGCTTCAATTCGATGTACCTCGTTCATGCTAGTCAAGGTGACATGACAGGAAAACGACCACAGTTATTGCTTATTTATTTATGTATTTATTTATTTATTACAGTTTCTGCTCTCTCCCTTGATAAGAGCGGACCATTAATATCTGATCTCAAATGAAAGCAAGGCAAGGAATTTCTTCGTGCGAAACACCCAAATAGCATTTATCATTATTCCCTACTGGATACAATCATTTCGGATAACAAATTCGATAGACATAGTCTAAAAGGTCTTCATTTTACGGTCTTGTTGGTATTTCTTCCTTCTCCGGCGAAGCTGAAATGCGGTAAATGGGCTTTGTGCGTGCAAGTACAAAGTGTACCTGTTTTAAAAAAAAAAAACGTTGGGGCGTAATCACTAAATTAGGGAGGTACTGCTTGGGAAAGTGATGCCCAGAAACAGGATATTAGTGAATTGTACTCGCTTCCGGCCAAAATGTTTTAATGTTGTCAGCGAACCAACAGACTTGCGAATGATTAGCCAATAAAAAGTGGAAGATGTGATCACGTGACATTTCTTAAATTATCGAGATTTTGTAGCAATTTATTGAGTTTAGCACAATGTCACAAGCATGAGACACCCAATGATAACAGTAACTTAAACTAGCTCGTCAACCATAACACCACCCTAACGTGTCGAACATACATACATTGTAGATTAGATTATAGTTGTTTTATTTGTTGTTTTTTTTTAATAATTTCACTCCATGTAAGACGATAAAGCCACTAAGACGGAATGGAGTAACTGAGACTAAAAGAGAATGAGAATACTTTAATGAAGAGTACGAACAATAAAAAAACAAGGATCGTGGAGACTGTTTCATGCTAGACGCAATCGTCAGGCCTGACGATTGCGTCTAGCATGAAGCAGCCTGTCGCCTCTGAGTGTTGACTTCAATGTTCACTTTTATATTTATATTTACATACGTTCTATCTCTGATATTGAGCACTTTATCCCATAAATATAGCACACCTTTAAACTATATTACTTTATATATATACATACATATATATATACATATATATATATATATATATATATATATTATGGACAGTAACTGAAATGTCTGATTCTCATTAACGTTATATTGCAAGGATGAGACAATGTTCAAACTTGAGAATTGACTAAGCAACGCCATCTCTTTGTACCGGTCTAGCAAATACCTGAATCCACTTGCAATCCGCTTACCATTACAAGAGCCGGATAAGGCCAAAAATGGATTACTGTTGTCATAAAAAGCGCCTCCGCGGCCTTGTGGGTGATTAATTACTTTCCAGTTTACAACCCCTTTCCCACAGACGAAACGTCGCTATCCTCTCGCTACTCTATTGCTATTTCCACGGAAAGTGTCTAGATGAACTACACTCTGTCCTAACCCTAAAACCCGCCATGCCACGCCCATTTTAGAGAGCCACCACCATTCCCTTTTTATTGCATTGGTGATATGTAAGTTCCACTCGAGTAAAGACTTGATGCCTTTGTGGGACCTACTTCCGAAAGGATGATTCCCCGAGCACGACAATCTTAACCTGTTCAAGTCTAGGTTTAATCGTTACCATTCCAACATATTCCCATAAACAGTGCCTCTTACCACGTACTCTACCTTGAGTGGGTCTTGGAGCTTGTACAAGGTGAACATTATTGTAAAAAAGAACGGCCCAGCTAAAAATACCCGATGCTAATAAAACAAAAAACAAAATCAAGTGTTATCTAACGTTGACGAGTACTTCAGCTAGTATATAAATATATACCCTACAGTTCAAATGTTTGAGGCCACTTCTGGTAGTTTTTTTTTTTTTTAATTGACTCCAAAAGTAGTTGATTTGTACTTTAAATAAGAGAAAATTATTATACACGGTTAAAAAGAAGTGAGACTTGAGTTTTTATTAGAAATGTTCTTATGACAGAAAAAAAAGCATTTTATGATTAAATTTTGCTCTCGTCAAAATATCCTCCTTTAGTCTTGATTACTGCAGCAAAAATTTTTGGAAGTTTCTCGAAGTATAAGTTTTATAATTGATTCCCTTCTTTTTTCAATGACTCTTATCGCTCTTTTCATTTTTTTTTTTTTTTTTTAATCATTCTTCTGTCAAGTTCATCCAATGCTAATTCTGGAGGTCGCTTCAAACTTTTGAACGGTAGGGTAAATATATCGGTGTACGCGCGTATGTGTGTGATATATATATATATATATATATATATATATATATATATATATATATATAGACTGTATTTTTTTCATTAATTCTTAAA